GTGCTGGGTGACTTTTTTTTATTCGATGTGTTAATACAAAATGTAATAATGTAAGATTAATTCACTAACTTATTAATTAATAATTTATAAATTATTTTTAATTATATTAAAATAATTCTATAGGACCAAACCAGACCACTTAGTCCAGATGCTTGGTCTCTAGTCTGGTCTTACCCGAAAAATTAATCCTATCTTTTTAGTCCTTTTAGTCCTTTAGGACCAATATTTTATAGGACTGGACAGGACCGAGTTTTCACGGGTTGGACCGGGTTGGACCAGACTACAAGACTTTTGCACAGCCCTAATTGGGTCCTTCAACTATTCTTAAAGGAATGAAGCAATGTCACTCCATGTTAAAAGGTGGGAAGTGTATTATAAAAAAATAAAATGAAAAGACTTAGAATATTAAAAAAATAAAAATCTAAAAATTTAAAATATTAAAAAAAATGTAGAGACATAAAATAAAATTTGATCAAAATATAAAGATTTAAAGTTCTATATATATATATATATATATATATTTAAAAAAGGAGAGAAGTGGAAATCTGTTAACTAGTAATGCCCCCTTACCAGAAAAAAAAGAAAAAAGAAAAACCGCGCGCGCACGTTTCATCTTGTCTTTGATGCTTTTAATTATTTTATTGAAATAAAAAAAATAATAGTTAATTCATTAAATGTCTTAAAATGATAAAAAATTTTAAATTTACCTTATTAAAAATAAAAAAAATACACAGTACATGATACGTGATGAAATTAAATTTATAAAAGGGATAAAATTGAAAAATAGTATTCCTTCCGATTTAAATTATAAGATACAAGTCTCATATAATAATAAATCTCATTAAATACACTTAATAATTTTTTTGTAAAACAAAAATATAAATTTTTAAATTTATTTAATATATTGAAAAGAGTTGTGACAAAAATTAAATAGAGAAAGAAATAGTAATAATGGATTAAGTATATTTATGAAACATTAATCTTCTCAAAATGTTTCATATTTTGGTACATCAAATTTATCATAAAAGTGTTTTGTAATTTGGGATGAAAGGAGTAACAAATTGTTGGCATATTTTGTAGAAAATCTGTTCCGAGTCATGCCTAAAAACATTGTAATTAAAAACAATTCTAGCACAATTATCAAAATTTTTCAAAAATAAAAGGAACCCTCTTGCAAAATGAACAGGGTGTTGGAACAATAAAAATAATTTCAAATATAAAAAATTTAGGATGAAGAAGAGAAGAGCTCGAAAACTCTTGAGGAGTGTGTATATAAACAACCTTGGGTACATACTTATATAGGGTCAAAAAGACATTGGTGGCTTAAAGGCAACTCAAGACAGCTTAATGACCATTAAAATATTAAATACTACTTAATGACAATTTATGGAAACCATTTTTAAATTTTAATATTAAAGACAATTAATGGTGAATAAAGTGCACGGCACTACATCTAACTCGTGGACAAGAGAAAAAGCCGAATCTCAATTACATTGGCATATTATTATATGCATGAGCTCACTTCTCTTCTTAACCATCTACTTGCTTAAATTTTAATCCTAGTATATACACTAAGACTTTCTCAAATTTAGCAATGTAAGGATTTTTTTTTTTTTGATACACAGACACAAAAACTCCAACACAAATAAACCTCCACACGCATTATATTGAAAATCAAAAAATCTTTTCAAAAGATGTCATATAACACAGATCGATTATAAAAGGAGTAAGTGGCATACCCATGGCATTCCAGAGGCAAACAAATTATAAATTAAAAAGAAAAAGAAAAAACTGTCTCAAGGACGAGAAACAAAGGCTTGTGATCCTCGTCCGTCGACGTCCACGATCATGAGCTTTCATGGTCAGATGCAGATCCGGCAATCCGAAATTTACGATAAAGAGCTTCAGAATTGGCTTTTGATTGTGTGATTATATACTCTACTTATTCCTTTTAAATTCAAAATATTTTTATTTGACTGTAACGTGTAGAGAAAAACTTTTTTTTTTGGCCGAAACATTTAGTATTTATTGAAGTGATAAGCATAGCATCCAATCCATAGTTTATAAAATTATAATAGCATTTAGTTTTTGTTTAAAGACTTTAAGTCTCGTATTTTTTTTTTGTGGAAAACTTTAATTTGTGATTCATTTTAAAAGATGAAATATAAAATTAAAATAATATTTTCGATGGACAAAACAGGGAATTAAAAACAAAAAAATATAGAATTTAAAGCATGAAGCATTTATACAATATATAAAAAATTTAGAGTTTCAGCTATGATTACTTATGTCAGTTATATGTGATCTGCTTTAATAAGCCTTATAAGCTGATAATTAAGGAATTCAATTGTTGTGAATTGTGATAATTAAGAACTCATCGTACGTGTAACTTTATTTCAAAATCATGCGTAAATGCAATTTATATATGAAAATTTGACCTAATAATATCAAACATATATCTATATATATTTACACACATAAACAAGTTTCTCACACTCTTTTGCAGAAAAAATTTAAAATAAAATCTCTATAAAATACTTTATGCAAATATTTCGGGATTAAATTAAACTATATATGTATTAATCACTATCTTGTTTATGCTATCCTCTTTGCCCTTGGTTTTTCATATTTGAATCCAGTAAATGGTGTGAGTTCATTCACTTAATTAGTGTTTCACATGGTATAATAAGAACTATTTAATTTAATCAAATGGCTATCAAAGATCTTGTCATGTAATATTTAAAAAGTACCAATTGTTAAATTTTTAAATGGAAAAAGAAGTGTTCTGATTGTAATGATTGTTTTAAATTTTTATAAAAAAAAAGGTATCTTAATAGTTTTCAAGTATTAATGAAATCTAATAGCTATAACTGATATACTCATTGAGTGAGTAGATTTAAGTCACTCTCTAAATTCAAATCCTAGTTTTTCCTTTTATTTTGAATATATACTCATCCTAATCTTTGATATAAAGCAAAGTTTTAAAAGTATTTTTTAGTCCCCAATATAAAACAAAGTTAGAATAATTAATTTTTTTTTTCAGTTTTATCACTTATTTATTTATCAACGTTTGAATTCCTAGACAACAATTTATTAGGTTATTAGTTACATGCAGAGAAATGTATAATCGGAAAGTTGCATTTTTTTTATAACAATTTTAAATATATAACTATCATTTTTTTAATAAAGTACAAATTTGATTAACTTTACTTTATATTAGAGATCCTCAGGAGTGTAATGTAAGAGATCTTTGAGAGTTATTTAGGTTCAAAATATAAAAAATAAATAAAAAATTTTTAGACAGATTGAGTGCATCACATCATTTATAGATTTTACTACCCATGCATTATAATTAACAATTTGTTATATTATGAATAAAATTTATATTTTATAAAAATTATATTAGAGGAAGGTCTAAAAGACAGTGAAACCACAATTATCAACATAAAACCATAAAAAAACTTGTAGGAGATATGGGCATAGCAACAATTATGTACTCACTAACTTACAATATTACTGGATGCAATTAAAACTTTTGGGGCAAATATGTTTAGGCTATCCCCCCCTAAAAAAAAAAAACCTTGGATGAATAATATTAACTTTCATATTTAAGAATGGTACCCTCATCAAATCCCTTTGCCTTCCATGCACCAAAATTACCTCTTCAATTTAATCGAAAATAAAATCTCCATAGGATCCAAAACAAACATTATTCAAACATTTACTCCCCATTTAATGCATGAAAAGGTTAGACTTACATAATGATCAAATATTTATTGAAAGGTTAATATTTATTATAACTAATAATAAAATTGTGTTTTAAGGGTTGTAGGACAAAAGCTAGAATGGCAACTTTTTCTTAATTAAGCTAAGATTCATACTCTAGAAAACCTTTATACACGTACTAGAATGAGTCTTGTAACAATTAATTGATTTTCCCATCACATTCCCTTTGATCTTTGATGAGATGTAATTTTTTCTATATAATCAAATATATAAAAGCCACATTATTAGCTCAATCTCATTGGTAGAAGAGGTGAGTGAACTTAGATGTATATGAGACAAAAAAAAACTCTTTTGATTTCTTTTTTTTCTTTTATTTTTTCTTAGATACATAGCAAGACTTTATTACCCATGCAAGAATATTAAAAAAAATTGTAACTAATTAAATATGAAGTTATTTATTTTCAAATTCAACTTACAAATATGATGACCATCAAGAAAGAAACAAATTTGATTGAGACTATAATAATAAATTCTCCCTCCTTTTCAAATTATAAGACATTTTTAATGAGATTTGACGTTCTAAAAAATAACAACACAATTGAAAAAACAATTATTTAAGAGAAGCCATAGTGAACATAAGCAATATGCAACCCTAGGCAAGATAAAGTTATCGAACTCTTGGCTTGACAGTGAGAGCAATTTAGCTCTTCTAGTCAAATTGAGTTTAAAATAGCGACGCAGAAGCAAAACCTGAAAGTTATAGAACTATTTCATTTCAACATTTTATTTTTTACACAATTTTTTCATTGAGCATGCCAAGGCAAGTGGCACCAAACTTAACTAACTGTATAAATACATTCATATGATAGTCTAGATCAAAATGATCAAAAAGGGAACGTTCATAAGTGGAGCATAAAAAAATGCACAAAAACTTCACCATTAAAGCAATACATCTTCCTGCCATCTTTAACTTCTATCTTCTTTTAAAGTGCAAGAAAGTACAATTCTACTTTTTTCTTATCCCTAGTGCAAATTCTCTTAAAATTCTCAATCTCTTCAAAGAAGAAGCAAGACTACTTGAAAGCTATTAGATCTAAAAAATTGATGGCAACAAAAGTATAAACTTGCAATAAGTTAGGGTTTAGACACGAAAACAATAGTTCAAAGTTATATGATAAAATAGAGCAATAAAAAATAAAATTCAAAAGTGATTGGGTTTCCAACTTTTAGCAAGGTGAGAATATTATATGCATAAAGTAAATAACTCTATTGACAAATAAAAAAAATTTATTAAGATTTCAACCATTGCACTAAATGTCCGGTCTGACCATACATTTTAAAATATCCTGAAAAAACAAACAAAGAATTAGACAAAAAAATATTGCAAGCTTATGCCAACATAGGAAAGAGTGCACATATAAATCTGACATGAAAACAAAATTCTTTTATATTAATATACCATATAATAAGGCCTTGACCATAAAGTAACAAAAACAACAATACCTTTAGAACGGCCTTGAAAAGGGCGTGTATTGCTACCCACCAACATATGATGGTCTATTGACAATTATGCTTTATAGCCTATGGCACACAATTTACAGCAATTTATGAATTTCTATATATATGTTAAGCATAAATTTCACAAAATGCATATATATATATTGGAAATCAGAAAGTAATCATTCCAAGTTAATAATTAATTCCTTTCATGATTAGTTCAATCGATGTACGCATCTTGAACTGTTGGTTTATATATGTTGTTAACTTCATATAAGCACAAAGTAGAAAACACAGTGACATTAATATAAAAGAAAAGAAAAGAAAAGAAAAAACAGTGACATTAAGATCATACTTGGATTATGGCCATTGAGATTCCAATTGCATTCTCCAATGCCTAAACAAAAGGCTGGCACCAATTCCTTGAACTGCTAGAAACTGTGAGGGAAAACAAAACCAAAATCTAACTTTATCCATGATGAGTTAATTTTGGACTACAAATTGTGATATGCACGTGATTATAAACCAAAATCAAGGCTAGAATCATTGCAGAGTTCCTTCCTATACAAACCAAAATCCCACTCTCTATCTCTTTTCCAAATAACTACAGCACAATACAGTATCCCTTGTGTGTTAAATTGATAGAAAAATTTAATCACTAATTATCACATATAGATCATTTTAGAAGGCAAGGACTTTTGTAATCAAACAAACCATTCAATTTCATAATAGTGGAAACTGGAGTCTGCCAAAACTCTTCCAAATTCAACATATAAAACTTTTGTAATTCTGAAATGAATCAAGGCTTCATTAAAATGGAAGAAAAATATATGGATGTAAAAAAAATTCTGGTTAATACCTTCTCGGAAAGCCACTCACCTTAAGACAATGGAAGAAAAGGTGAACTAAAACTACTGACCAACAGAGACATAAATTAACTATGCGAACTGAATCTACTGATCAACAAAGATGAAGAGCTTTCAACTATCCTGGCTACAGAATGGAGGAAAATAAATAAAAAATGAGAGCCTTTCAACTATCCTATTGTTGGAAAGAACTAAATAATGAATCAAAACTTTTCTACGAGATACTGTTGTCTGTAGTTTAAGCCAAAAAAAATACTGAATCAGCAGAGGCAGGGATAATACATCAAACAAAAAAATCAAACAAAACAAATCAAAAGGCACCTGCCTTGAAACCAAAAAAAAAAAACATCAAATGGAAATTGAAGGGAAAATGCAAAACCGAAATTGAAATAGCTAGGATGGAGGAGTGATTTCTGGTTATGATCCAATGAACGTTGAGATCGTTCCAGAAATTTATTTCATTTCTTTCCCTGAATTTTTCCATCCACTCATTCTAACTGATTCATCCATGGAGAAGAAGACTGCAAAGAAGAAGAAGAAATCAATCAAGAAGCAAAAGATAGTAAAGCTAACAATAAACTGATGAAAAAGAAAAAGGGGAAAGAGCTTATAGAAGCGAAAGAGGGAGAGAGTAGAGAGACGGGCGGGATGATGACGAAAAAAGAAAATGCGTACCTTTGTAATTCGTTAGATGAATGACTTCACAATGGTTGCTCAGGCGTCAGAGAAAAAAGCTTGGCCATATTTTCTTCGACGATCAGATACTAAGATCTGGCGTTGGCGCAACTAAGATTGTGAATGAGGAGCTTGGGGTTCCAGAAATTTTAGAGAATAAAGAGAGGGAGGGAAAGAAGCGATAGACGAAGACGAAGGAGGGAAAGGAGCGAATAAAGAAGTGAGAAGAAAAGAGAGAGGAAAAGAAGTAGCTGAGTGTAGTAGCCATCCGTCATGGGACTAAAACAGTGACTATAGTCTAAACTCTATAGACAAAATTAGAGTCGATAATTTAGGCCAAGCTCGATAGGCCAACCCAAATTCGCTCAAAAAATTTAAACCCAAACCCAAAAAAATAATATTTTTTATTATTCGGGGCCTATTCGGGCCAAATTTGATCGGGTTCGAGCTTGGCCTGAATACCCGAATAGAAAAAAATAAATTTTTAAAAAATATATAATATAATAAATATTAATTATTTTTTAATTTTTATATCATTTTATTTTAAAATACCATATATTTGAGTGTATTACTATAGTTATTTTAAAAAAATAAAAATATTTATATTTTCCCATTTTTATTATTTTTAATCAAATAAAATATCTCAAAATAATAATTAAAATATATTTTAATATTAATTTTTATATTTTAAGACTCAATTTTTTTCATAAGACTCAATTTTTTTTAAAAACAATTGAGTCATATACACCATTTTCTTGTCCAAAAAATTATATTTTATATTTTTTATAAAATAATATAATTAATTTTAAATTAAAAATAATTTTAAAAATAAAATTTGGACATGTACGAATTTTCGGCTCTATTACTAAACAAACATAATAAATAAAATAATATTTTTAAATAATTATTTGATTATCATCCACGCGACTTAGTTAAAAATTAAGAATGAATTAAAGTAAATACCTTTTGTATATAGTACTTAAACAATATAAAAGATTAACAAAAAAAATTCAAAAAATAGTATTTTAACCATAATTAAATAATTTTGTTTTATGTAATATAATGATGACTATTTTTCTCATATTCTTAAAAATGAAAAGTAAAGTTAATCCAGTAATTATTAAAAACTTTGAACTAATCAGGACAATAATTTTAAATTAGTGGCCTAACCGTAGTTGAATTGAGATTAACTTGATCATAATTAAAATAATATGTAAAATATATAAATGTTTTATATAACCATGATAAGGGCAATATTTAAATAAATAAGATATTAATTTACAAGTAAAAGAAACATTCATAAATAAATTACATATAATACAACAAAACAGTAACAGAGCTACTTAAATACTTAACTACAAAGTTAATAAGTTATTTTTTTATTCCTTTCAAGTTAAAATGATATGTTGTGCTTAACAAAATTATTTAAAAATTAAAATTAATTAAAAATAAAAAAATATTTTAAAAAAAGTTTCAGGTATTCAGGCCGGCCCGAATAAGCTCGAAACCTGAAGGCGGTTAGGGCCGAGGCTTGGCTATATGGGCTTTTTAAAAAGAATAGGATTCTTTAAGCCCGATCCTAATAAGCTCGGCTCGAATTGAGTTCGATCCAAATAAGTCCGCCCCGCTCGAATTACCGGCTCTAGACAAAATGCAGAGTACCGTTCAGCGGACATAAATGATGAGTATAGGCAAACAGGTTTAAGGATGTGAGAATTGTTTGATGCTGAAATGAAATGCTCTCATTGAGGACATTTTTTAAGGCCTTCTCTTTACAGGGGTAAACACAAAAAAAGAAGATTGCAGGGGATGCTTTAAGTGAATCAGAGACAAGCAAGTAACGTTCTGGTGAAAGAACGACTGGAATGCAAAAAATTAATCTCCCAAGCTAAGTGAAACCCTTATCATTTTGATGCAAAATTGGCTGTAAAGGCGGGAAAAAAATGAGCAAGTGATTATTTTTGTCGCAAGAGAAGAGTAAAAAGACAAGCATGAAAAGAGGAGGGAAAGGCGAAAAATTGGCTGCAAAGGCACAAAATTGGCAGCTTTGGAAAAGTTATTTAAAAAAATGGGCTTATTGGACCCTCTCAAAACCTCTTGTTTCACATGGACGGTCATTGTATGCGTGCATCAATATAGGTGGCATTCATTATAGGAAAAGAACAAAATAAGAATAAGGCAAACAAGTTACTATAGATAAGGGGAACTACTATTATAGATATATTGATGTTCCAAATCATCTAAATAAAATATCATGTGTGACATTATTTTACTTGATTTTATTCTTATAATAGAATGCATATTTAATTTCTTGCTTTTTTCTCTCTACTATTATTAATATCATAATAAATTTTTATTTAATATCATTTGAATATCAATTTTTTATCAAACAAACTACAAATAACATATTACATTTGGTCTGCCTAAGAATTTTTAAAAATAAATAAGGTACATGCACAATGTATTAAATATTTTTTCCCCACTTCTATAAATCTTTTCATATCAACCTTTAAATAGTAAACACCTTGATATTTGTAAGGTGTAAACTAGATCGAATCTTCTAATGAGTTAACTTTTAAATTTATTAAGAATGATTATTAATTAGACAAACTATAAATGATATATTACGTTTGGTCTACCGAAATTTTTTTTGAAATAAATTAGTTTCATGCAATGTGTATTAAATATTTTTCCTCTACCTCTATATATCTATCATTTCATATCAACCTTAAATAGTGAACACCTTGATATTTATAGGGTGCAAGCTAGATCAAATTCTCTAGTGAGTTGAATTTTACATTTATTAAGAATGATTATCAAATGTTTTATAAATAATGGGAGAAATTGTTTTGATTAATTGTCTAAAAATGCAATTAATTAAGACTCTACCTAATAATTTTGCAATTTCAGTTTTAAGAGAAAAAGAGTGAACAAATGAAAGTGTGTTTGCAGTAATGAATAAAAGTGATCCCTAAAAGTATGATAATAAAAAAAGAAAAATCTCATTCAACAATTAAATTGTGAAAGAAATGTTCTCATCACTAAGGCATTGAATTAGGTGAATGCGTTTTAACATGAATAAGAGAATAAGAAAAGCCCAAAAATGCCGAATGTTGGTTATGCGTTTGGGAAAGCACGTGCTTGTCTTATTATTCTTATCCTTATTCTTATTCTTATTATTAGATTAATTCCAAAGCTAATTGAGTGGAAATGGGGTAGGAATTTGGGCTAAAATTATAATAGGATGAAATTAAATGGAAGTTCAATGGGATCAAGAGTGACTAAGAAAAATGCAAAAAATAAATGGAGAAGAAAATCAAATAAGAGGAAAAGAAAATACATAAAAGAAAGAAATTTGACACACGATCCTCTTGCTTTCTCTCTTTGCCATATAACCACCTACACATGAAATAATAAAATCAATAAAAAATATATTTTAGGAAATTAAAAATAATATTCAATAAAATTTAGAAAAATATGTGATAAATCCTAATAATTCTCTAAAAATATTTATTTACCCTCTAATCACAAATATTAATCAATTGAACTCAAATAATCCAAAGCAAGTGTTTAAAAGTCCAGAAAAGTGAGATAGAAATATTTAAAATATATAGATTATCAATTACCTATAATAAAATAGAGGTTAAAGGTCTAAATATTGAATGGAGGACATTTCTGGAGAATATTTTTATTTGTGATGAATTTAAAAAAGTAAACTAAATTTAATTAGAAAAAATATAACTTTGAGTCTCAGCACTTTAGTCGCATTTTGTTATTGATCCCTGTACTTTTTTTAGTATTTTAAGTCTCTATCCTTTTATTTTTGGTGTCCTAGATTCGTTCAAAGTCCTTACACTTTGTTTATGGAAGGGTTTAAAATATTAAAAAATAAAAGTACAGAAATTTAAAATACTAAAAAAATTTAAAAATTAATGACAAAAGTGAGCAAAATGTAGAGATTTAAAGTTATATTTTTTTCATTTAATTATTATTCTTATACATGTTTGTCATTATGCAGACTAAATTGTGCATTGTGCATTGCATGTTT